GAGGAATTTGGGGAAAACTGGGATAAATCTGTGGAAATATGGAGGAATTTGGGAAAAATGGGGAGAAATCTGTGGAAAAATTGAGGAATTCGAGATAAAACCAGGTTTAGGGTCAAGTTTTAATTCCAAGATGTTGAGAAAATCCCAAATTTGAGAGGGAAAAATGGGAGAGATCCATGGGAAAACAGGGAGGAATTGGTTTTATTATTCCTGGGGGTTTTTTGGGATAATTTTCCCATATATTTTTAATTTTTTGGGATGATTTTCCCGTATTTTTTTGGTTCTTGGGATGAATTGTGTGTGGGGAAATCGGAATCAAATTTGAATAAATTTAAATAAAATTTAAAACTCTAATAAAAATAATTACTCTGAATATTAAACATTAATAAATGGAATAATAATCAATTTTACATTAAAAAGAATTCAGAAGAATGGATTTAAAATAATTAGTTTAAAAAACAATCATTAAAAATTAAGGTCAAGTCAAAATTGGAAAGAATTAAAAAGAAATGAAAAGTAATTAAAGAAATGTTAATAGAAAAATAATGAAATTAAAACAATAATGGGAATAAAGTAATGGAAATTAAAATAATTGAAATAAAAAGAATAAAAAGAATAAAACCAAAAGATTAAAAAGATTAAAAAGTCAAATAATGAAAATAAAATATTGAAACCAAGTATTAAAACTTAATTAAAGTAAGATCATTACAATTAAAATAATAAAAGTTAAAATACTGAAAATTAAAATAAGAGTTGAATAATAGAAATAAAAGAATGAATTTAAAATAAGAGATTGAAAAGAGTCACAGAAAAATGGATTAAAATAATAATTAAAAACTGAATTGGTAAGAAATTAATGTGAATAAATTCAGAATCATAATGGTGAAATTTAAAATGAAAATAATATTAATTATAATTTTAAAATGTGAATTAATAATCAGATCAAAATACAAATAAACTTAAAATCATAATAACCCCCTACAAATTAAAATAAATCAAGAATTAGAATAACATTTTAAATAAAAATTGTAATTAATAAAAATAAAAGTGAATAATAATAATGAATTAATAAAATTAATTATTCATAATAAATATTAAAATACGAGAAATGAAAGTTATTTCTGATTAAAAGAAGAGAAAATTTTAATTCTTATTATTTGAATAGTAGAAGTTAAACCAATAATTAAATAAATCCAATTAATTAAACCAACTATTAAATCAATCCCAGTGTCTAAACCGATTATTAAGTAAATCCTATTAATTACAATAAATAAAAAATTAATTATTAAAAACTAATTAAATGTAATCTTATTAATCCTCCACGAATAAAAAAATCCAATTAATCCCAAAATCTCCCTAAAATCCCATTTTAGGGGGAAAAGTGGGAATGGGGAGGGGG